GATTGCACTTCACTCTGCCTGTTTTCAGGGGGAGTAATATTGGTAACATTTGGGGAGACTGTATCTGTCTATTTTGTGTGGCTGTTTTGAGGGATTGTCCCATCAGTGAATAAACTGCATGGCCTTGGAGAGAGACTCTGGGCTTTTGGCTCAGATCCGTTCATCAAATACTCCTTTCAGAGCTGTTGTGGGTGTAAGTGACATGATGTGGCCAAAAATCCAAACTGTGCAGTTGCGTTGTGACAAACATGCAATGTGCTGTAAAAACTCAATACAGTTTAAATAAAATCTCTATATTAGTGCTGCTTTGTTGGGTCTTTTTATTCCTTTTAGTTTTTAAGTAAACATATTCATTGTTCTTTTGACCATGAAAAAAGGACTAAAACATTAACCTCTTTCCTCTAACAATTTCCATTTTTAAAATGGACTCTTTTTTTTAAAAAAAAAATCAGCACAGCTTTTGTTGTATTTGAGCTTATTGATTGGTTAGGGATATATTTACTCATTTTCAGTTTTATGGGGCTTGGAATGTAACCTATAGTCTCCTGCATCTAGGCAAGAAACTCATTGGAACTACATCCTCAACCCTGAATAGATTTATTCTTAAGGATTCTATAGAATTCTGTCCCATCTAGATGAGGTTTCTCTTTAATGTTTGAAATGTCACCAGCTGGTTGAAAGCACACCGAATTGTATTCTAGTGATATCCTTCTGTCAGGCACCTGTTTTCATCAAACCTTGAGTAAACTGAGCAAAATACTGGCTTAGAAGCATGTATTTTTAAGATATAAAATGCTACTATCTAGGGGCTGGGGTGGTGGCTCAGTGGTAGAATGCTCTTGCCTAGCATGCGTGGGGCACTGGGTTCAATCCTCAGCATCATATAAAAATAAAGATACTGTGTCCGCATGAAACGAAAATAAATTTTTTAAAAATGCTACTATCTAAAAAGATGAATTTATTTACTTGGGATATTGCACATCCACCCCCACCATTATTTTTTGGCAGGAGCGGCAGTTCAGCTGTTGGTTCAAGTTAGAGTTAGGTCCTTTGTTCTCAGGAACGTGGCTCTGCGTTGCTTAACGCAGACTGTCTGCATTCTGAATCCCCACACGCTGGCTGTGCTCAAGTACCCGACCCTTGGTGTTCCACTGTGGATAACTGGGCTTCTTTCTTTGCAGGACTTAGAACTCCCTGGTGGGCGACGCTCCTCCGCCCGGAGCGGGCGGTTTGGGGACGCCAAGGAATGCGGCCTTCTCCCATCCATGTCCCAGGCCGCCGCTGGCGTCAGGTGGCGCTGGCCTCGCGCCGCTTAGTGGGAGGGCCGCCTCGCGCTGCGTTGGCCACGCGGCAGGAACTCGAGGCCCCATTGGCCGCGCTGGAGTGCGCGGTAGGGACTCGTGCGCCAACGGTCCCGGGGTCTGCGGCGTCCGGGCGCTGGCAGGAGGGGGCAGGGCGAAGCGAAGGCCGAGGGGATCGAGAACGGGGTGGGAGAGCCAGGCTCGGCGGGGCGAGGCCCAGGGCCCGGGCGGGGGTGATGGAGGAGGCGCTGCTCTCCACCCCCATCAACCCCAACAACTTCCCCGCCAAGCTGTGGCGGTTGGTGAACAGCCCCCGGTACCGCTCGATCCGCTGGGATGGCCGCGGCGAGGGGCTGCTCATCGACCAGCCGCTCTTCGAGGCTGAGCTGCTCAGTCCGCCTGGGCCGGGAGCTGGAGGCGGCAGTGGCGCTGGGGGCAGCGGCGTGGGGGCCACCGGGGCCGAGCCCGAGCTTTTCAAAACCACCAACTTCACCAGCTTCATCCGCCAGCTCAACCTCTACGGCTTCMGAAAGGTGGTGCTGGGTGGGCCGGGCGCGGCGGGGCCAGGGCCSGGGCCAGGGGCCGGCGGACCGGCGGGCGACGGACCACTCCACCACTTCCACAGCCCGCATTTCCGCCGTGATCAGCCGCAATTGCTCGTGCACCTCAAGAGGCTCACCAGTGCCAACAAGGCCAAGCTGGCGGCCGGCCTGGAGGTGCCCTGCCGCCCACCCAACCGCTTCCAGAGGCTCCTCATCACGTCAGCCTCSGCCTCGGCCTCGGCTTCCACCTCCCCGCTGCAGCACCAGGATCCGCCGCCGCCGCCCGCGGGGCCCCGGCCAGAGCCGCATGGTGAGTCTGGACGCTTGGATACTCGCCCTCCGTGGGCACACGGGCAGCAGGGTGCTACAGCCAGAGAGTATTTCTGCACATCCTCACCTCGGTGGTGTGGCGAGGGTGCTGGGGACCCGCTTCACTAGCATCATTCTCGCCCCAGTGCTCTAAATTGAGTGCGTGAGCATTTAGCTTCTCTGTGTCCACTAGCAGCAAGAGGGACTTCTGCTTTAGGCTCCCCCGCTTCCCCAAAAGTTTGAACCTCAAGACTTTACCAGCTTCCCAAAGCCCATAGTCATTTACCTTCCCAGGACCCAGTTTCTCTACTGTGACCATCTAGAATAAATAGTCCTGTGTGAAGCACAGGGTCTGAAAGAAACCGAGAAGGGCCTGTATTGCTCCAGCAGGAAGCAGAGCACAGTCACTCTGCAGGTTAAGGCGTCAAGGAACAAAGTCACAGCTAAGAAAACTTAGAACATTGTACAAACCAATGGAACGTGGAAAGTTGGAAAAAGGTACCTTGAATGGAAGTTTGTCCTTGAAGGGATATACTACTACCTTTCACTACCTGACTTAAGAAATCTTGGAAGAAGTGGTATAACAGTAATAAGATTTAAGTTTCCAAATAATGTGTAGCATGGTAGACATTGTTTGTATCTCTTAAGGGCAAAAATATAGATTTACAAGATATTGTTCCTATGTAGAATGAATTAGCTAAATATTTCTTTTGTTTCAGTTAATGAGCGCTTGATGCCCATGACTTAGGTGTTATGGTTAGACAAACAAGGCAAAAATGGTTTACTTGTTTTAGTTAAAAAGAATTGTAGAAAGCACACATTTATGGCCTTTGGATTTTTCACTACTAGCCATACTCTTTCAGCATTGAAAAGTCTTTATGTAAGTCAGCATTTAAATAAATTCAGAAACCCTAGCAATAGAGAATTATTTTATGGATCTGATATTCTTACCCCTCTGCAAGGAAGGTGAAGTTAGCAATATTCCCTTTCTCCTAGTAAAGAGTCTAAGATAGGAAACAGTACACTAAGAAAGCAACAGAATATTACTCTGCTTCAGCTAGGAGAATAACAAACATTTTCAGCATTATCATGGATTTAGCATAGAGAAGTCTGAGTTATTTTTGAGTTTTGGAAAAAATTAAAGTGTGCAAATAACACTGTKTTCAATTTTACTTAGGCCCAGTACCAAGACAGTACTTTCTTCATTTGGAATTTAGAAGATAAGGGACCAGGTTTTGTGTCTGTGGAGTTTAGAAGATAAGGGACTAAGTTAGAGTTCTGTTGTCAACTTGGGGAAATAGCAGTGGCAGAGGAATGTTCTAAAGGAATTCTAAAGGAATATCAAGCCACTTCCAGGTGATGGCCATTGATTTCAGTGGTGAATTATATGGGGAAAGACAGTGGAGACAATACAGTGGTGGACATTTGGCAGAATGTYTTGACATGGTCCTTTTTTGTTTTGTTTTTCTCCAGGTTGTATCTCTAGTGGGCATAAGGAGAAAAGACTAGAAAATATATTCTTGGGAGAAATGGGATAACCACTTCAAACGAAGAAACATGTAAAAGCCAACTTTTGCTTGCCTTTGTATCTTCTTTGATCCTGCTCACTTACTTTTTTTTTTTTTTTTTTTTTTGAGGGGTACTGCGGATTAAACCCAGGAGTACTTTACCACTGAACTACATCCCCAGCCCTTTTTACTTTTATTTTGACATAAGATCTCAATGAATTGCCCAGGCTGGCCTTGAACTTGAGATTCTTCTGCCTCAGCCTTCTAAGTAACTAGAATTACTATACCCAGTTTCTCTAATCTGCCTTAAACCAATTTGTATTCTAAGGATAGAGTTCATTTTAATTAAAGAAATACAAAGAAAGATTATCTAGAATTTGATTTTTTTCACTTATAATTCAGTTATTGGCATTTTAAAGATTACTGTTTGTTGAAAATAATTAATCCATGTCTTCTCAGTATAGGTAATATATTAATACCTAGGTAATTGTTATTTTCATGCTTTTTTTTTTTTTTTGCCATTCTACCTGTTGCCATGTGCAGAAGGATGTTAATTGTGGATTGTGTACTTCACAGCCTTGCTTTACTAGGGAATTGTGTTTCTGATTTAGGTGGAATGTAATTCTGTTATAGATTCAAGAATACCAGCACAAYGTTGTTTTGTTCTCTTAATATTTTCTTTTTTAAATACTTATTTATTTTTTTAGTTATCGGCAGACACAACATCTTTGTTGGTATGTGGTGCTGAGGATTGAACCCGGGCCGCAGTATGCCAGGCGAGCGCGCTACCGCTTGAGCCACATCCCCAGCCCTATTCTCTTTATATTTTCCAAGTCCTTGGCTTTTCTATTTTTTCCACGCCTAATTTTTATTCTACTTGAGTCTTGCATTGATTATATGCCTGGGTACACTGCTGCTTCCTAGTTTCCATTTTGTTTTCTGTCTTCTACTTCAGTTTATGGTTTGAATATTCTTTTTTACAGTAAAATCATCTATTCTAGGACCTAGTTCTCTTATTTAGATCCACTGAGCCAACTGTCTTGTTCACCTTTCAAGAATGTACTTGATAAGAAATGTGAAGATCCCATGTTTTTCCCTTTTTTATTCATCTGCTTTTGTTATTTTGTTTTTGGTGGCAATTTATTTTCCAATATTTGTTAAAATGTTCTAAACTAAGTAGCAAGTCTGGGAAATAGATAATCTCTCTTTGCCTGGGATCAACAGGCAAGTTTTGGGATTCTTCCCTGGCAATTGATTAGTTTCACTTCTAAAAAAGGAGTAGAATCTTTAAAAACAAAACCATTCTGCCCTACATTTCTAGAATTCTGGACTCAAACTTTGCCAAATATATCTTAGAGATAATGACATAGACGAATCTTTATAAAGTTTATCAGAATAGAGTCCTATGAGGTAACACTTAATAGAAGAATAACTAAGAGGTGAATATATTTCAGGACTTCATTTTTTTTTAAAAAACAAAAGAATGCCCTTCTAATCTTGACAGTATTGTTATGTTATCAGCATTTAAAATAGATAATTAGCTGGGGTTGTGGCTCAGTGGTAGAGCACTTTCCTAGCATGTGTGAGGCCCTGGGTTCGATTCACAGCACCACATATAAATAAATGAATAAAATAAAGGTCCATCAACACCAAAAAAAAAAAAAATCTGTTAAAAAAATAATTAACCTTCACTCAAGTTTATCATGATGGAAGTAGAATTTATATTTTAATTCAGATATAAACTATAATTTGAGAAATCAAGGTAGAGAATTCTTTATTTTGCTGCTTAAGTTATTGACATTCTGAAAATTAATTCATAGGTTATCCCTGAAGAGGGTAGAAGAACTAGCGAGCTACTGACTGTAGGCAACATGTAGTTTTGTCATTTGAAGATACATCCAAGGAGAAATCAAGTGGGGGTAGTTTGAGACACCTAGAAATATCCATTGTGAAGAGTAACAATTTTTTTTAGGAAAACAGGATTGTCAGTTGCAAGTTCAAAGTATGCATACATATGGAATTACTAGTCAAATAGCATCATAAAAACTAGTTTTGGTACTTTAAAGGAATAGTTGTTTTAAAGAGATGTATAATTAGAATATAATCAGTCTTCTGAATTAGGATTTTTATTTCTCTCATTAGATGATTTTTATTTCTCTMATTAGATTGATTTCCAGGCCTCCAGAATTGAAAGGTTTCTAATCTAATTATTTTGAAAAGTAGAGTTTTGGGAGAGGGAGGGAACTGAGGATTGAACCCAGGGCCTTGCACATGCTAGGCAAGCACTCTGCCACTGAGCTACATCCTCAGCCTTTTAAAATTTTTATTTTGAGACAGAGTCTCACCCAGGCTGGTCTTGAATTTGCAATCTTTCAGCCTCAGTCTCTCCAGTAGCTAGGATTACAGATGTGCACCACTATGCCTGGCTAGAATATTTGAGTATCATCTTTCAACATGTAGTTTAGGACCTGAGTAGCATGTAAGATAGATTTTCCCTCTGTTTTACAGATTTATGAAATAAATTGAATCTAATTTGTAAACCACATAATTTTAACAGAGAACTTTTTTACATTTATTTGTTTATTTTGTATCGGGGATTGAACCCAGGGGCACTTAACCACTGAGCCACATCCTCATCTCTTTTGTATATTTTGTTTAGGGACAGGGTCTTGCCAAGTTGCTTAGGACCTCATTAAGTTGCTGAGGCTAGCCTTGAACTTGCTATTTTCCTGCCTCAGCCTTCCGAGTTGCTGGGATTACAGGCATGTGCCATCACACCAGGGACAAAACTCTTTAGGAGTAAATTAGGCTATCTTTTTTTATATTCAAGAATCATGATCTGTAAAATAAAGTTTAGCCTACAACACTTATATTCTTTCTTATTACATACTGTTACCCCCYCTCTCTCTCCCTCATGTTTTCACTTTCTACCTTACTAGATAAAGGAAAGAATTATGTGCATGAGAATCTTTTGAAGCTGGTATGTTTTAACAACTCTCCAGATGATTCAGATGTATATCAGTGTTTGAAGGCCACTGAGATCTGGGCAGGGTCACTACTAGAGAAACCTAAAGGAAAAAAAGACCAGGGAAAATGATGGGTTGATTTAGAGACAGGGTCTCTCTGAGTTGCTTAGCGCCCCCACTGTTGCTGAGCTGGCTTTGAACTCCTGCCTCAGCCTCCTGAGCTGCTGGGATTACAGGCATGGGCCACTGTACTGGCTCATTACATTATTTTTGGCTCATGTCATTATTTATTCTACACATTTTCTATGTATATGATAGAGTGCTTATTTTTCTGATCATTAATAAGCTTCCCCTAAAAGGTTTGAAAGAATGAATGGAAAACTTCTAGGGAGTAGTTTACACTTTGGAAAAATCTGGGTCAGTCAACTGAGGTAAAAGGTAATATGATATGGCTGGGGGCTGGCGTTGTAGCTCAGTGGTAGAGCACCTGCCTCACACGTGTGAGTTATTGGGTTCGATCCTTAGCACTGCATTAAGAAAAAAAAAAATAAAGGTATTATGTCCATCTCCAACTAAAAATATTTTTTTATAAAGATAATATGACCAAAATCATCTATAAAAGGGTTTAATTTGAATGTTTTATTTAACCTTTGATTTAATGATGTTGGAGTTTACCTCTTATGACAGTAATTTGAGAACAAAACAAAAGGTTATTTGTTTATTCTTTCAGCATTGTATGTATAAACCCATATTCTGGATTCTGAACTTGCTTTTGCCGAAACTAAATTTCTGTTGTGTTAAACAGCTGATAGGTGAACAAGAGTATTTTTTTTAATTGTTGAATCTTTTTAAAAATGTTTTTGTATTTTTTATACCTTTATTTAATTAATTAATTAAATKTATTTATTTATTKATTTATTTTATGTGGTGCTGAGGAGTGAACCCACTGCCTTACACATGCTAGGCAAGTACTCTACCACTGAGCTACAATCGMAGCCTCTAAAGTATTTTTTTGACCTTTGGTTTACTATGTCTGGTGGTTTAATGTAAAATTAGTAAATGTGCTCTTCCTCTTTTATGCAGGACCAGTGGCTGTAGGACAATTTCACCGGTCATTCCGGCGAGATAGTTTGTCTCCTTATTCCTACGTATCAGCTTCATCCCACAACCACAGTACTTTCCCTCTGAAAGGTTTAGATCGGACCCCGATTCCTCCAAGAACATGGCAGAACTCCCTTGGAATGCACCCTGGACAAGTGGACACATCTCCTACTTTTTCAGATAAAGGGGTTCCATTTCCTGTACTGCAGAGGTTTCCAACCGAGGTTACCTATACACTGCAGCCCAGTGCCACATCTGTACACGTTCAACAAGGCCCTCAAACAATGGTCAGCTCCTCCCAAAAATATAGTAACTACACACCCTCAGCGCAGTACTCCCAAGCCTACTATCCAACAGGTATGAGAAGTTCAAGTTCACTGTCTTCTATTAAGGTAGTTTATAATCATATTTATATTTTAATTCATTTTAGTCTCTGTGTGCTTCAACATAGGTGGTATGAATATTAAAAAATGTCAAAGATTTATTAGGAAATATTTTAAAACAATACATAAAATTTTATGTGTACTTAAGGATTGTGAAAATTTTGTTGATGCCTAAAAAAGGGTATGTTTTCAGTGAAACCTTTTGTATTCTCAAAATGTGTTCTATTTTTATAATTAAGACTTAGTATTCTTTAATTTTGCCCTTGGTATAATGTTTTATTTTTTAAAATATATTTTGTATGTGATATATTTTGTCTGTAATATCATAGATGAAGTTTCATAGTGAAATTATTTTAGTATCTCAGTCTGAAGTTTATTAAAAAAGCATGCTCTCTGAAAATTAAATTCTTTAGTAAAACATGGTAAATAATGAAGTCCCTTCAATGTTCATCACAGCCAAATAAAAACAGGGGAATAACAGCAGGAGAAACTGACAATGGCAGCTGACCTGGCATTCAACCAAGAATTGAGGATATGCTGATAGATCCCAAGCCATTAACTGGGAATCCTTATAATAGTAACCTTGTGTCTTGCTTCTCAGAAAAGGAAAAAAAAAAAACTTTTAATATATCTTTTTTGCAAGATAATGGTCTTACCATTTATTTCAAATTATTTTCTAGTTTGAAGAAACACTATAGCAGTGTTAAGTGTTTCATTATGTAATATACTTTACACAGAASGATGAAATGGGGCTATAGAAGGGTCAGAGCCTTCAGAAAAGACCAGAAAGAAGGAACATGGCATTTCTTTGTCCTAAAAATTAAGAATCTGGAAGCATTAATTTTCTCGGTTTTATAGATCTGTAATCAATCTCTGGAAGTATTTTGTTAGAGCATTTCTTCCAGGAAGGACTTAACAAATATAAATAAATAAGTGAAAGGAATGTAAATCAGGAAAGGATAATTTGTTACCATTAAAAGTTATAAATCTGGTGCCTGTTCTATTTGTAATAGTACTTAATATTTTCTAGTTGTTAATATTCAACTATRTACTTTTACTATTGACTTAATGCTTTCTACCTAAAAGTAGAAGTAAAAAGGATTGCTTTGTTTTCCCAAAACATTTAATGTTGTAGATATTAAAATAACAAAACTAGAATTTAAATTAAGCGGGGGTTCTATAGCTTTTTAGAGCTGCTGTTCTTTTGGTGGAAGGAGTTGAGAAGGAAAAGGGGACGTGAATTGTATGGAGTAAGGATGACATAACTTTTAATCATTTTGCATAATAAAAAATAGAAGAAAATGGTTGTCTTATGTAGAAATCCTTTAGGCCTGATTTTTTTCCCAAATTTTCAGCTATTACTTTGAAGAAAAAAAATTTAGGGTTGGGGTTGTAGCTCATTGGTAGAGCGCTTGTCTAGCATATATGAGGCACTGGGTTCGATTGTCAGCACCACATATAAATAACTAAATAAATAAAATAAAGTTCCATTGACAACTAAAAAATTTTTTAAAAAAATTTATGCAGTCTTTAAAAATAAAAGATGACTAATTTCATGTTTATAATTTATGTATCTTAAATATAGCAGTAAGTGTGGTTGGATTTTTATTACTAGAGAGTTTGATCTAATATTATAATAAATTAGGTATTGCTATCAAAGTTCTTATTTTGTCCACATTCCATGTATGCATAGAATATATAGAGAGGCAGACTTTGTCTTTCTTGATTTACATTTCATTTCTCTTAATCCCCTCCTTTTAACTGAGACTAAAGAATTGCCATAAATGTTTCCCTTTGTTTTTTTTTTGTTTGTTTTTTTAAACTACTAAAGACTCAGAAGCTTCTGTAGAGTTGGAATTTGGAAGGACTGCAGCAGAAAGGTGTAGAAATGTGCTCTGACCTTTCAATTTGGAATTTTGGAGGTATTTCCCTTTGGAAATATTAGATAGGGTGGCTGGGTGCTGTATTGCTATAATCTTTAAGGTATAAATGGTTATAGTCTGTATGTTGTTTCTCTGGGAGGTTTCTCTTCTAAGTTCCAGGCAACCCTCATAGAAACTCTTAGTTCTAAATTTTATAAGTATTGCTTACAACACCAACGACCACATCAATTAATATTATTCATTCATTGTAGAAATACTATTTGTTAAATTATGATGATCTTGGATATATTATTTAAAAATATTTTAACTTTGTTGTAAACTTATAAATTGAAAGTCATTTCCAAGAGTTCAATATAAGGACTAGAAAAGAGTCGTTTTAAAAAGAGCAAGTGACCTGAGGTGTAGCTCACTTGACTAGCATGATTGAGGCCTGGGTTCCAGCTCCAGGACTGAAGGAGAAGCAAAAACAGTTTTTGTAGTATACAAGCACTTATAAAATAGAATCTTGTGTTTTTTGAATTTTTATTTTATTGGTCTCCTTTAATAGGGACTTAAAAGTTTCTGAGGTTAGAAGAATAAGAAATTTCATGATAACTTCTAATACATAGAATAGTTCTATGATAAAAGTAGGTAATACTACTTTGAACATTCAGAATATTATGTAAATAAATTGTTCAGTTAAATATAAAAGAACTGCTATAGAAAAGAAAGTGCCATAAAAATACTGTACAAGTATTTAATTCTTCCAAATTATGGGTGAATGAAGCAAAAACTAATGAGTAATCTCACCAATATTTGTTGAGGCCTATTTAGGAACATCATTACAGATTATTTCCCCAAAATGACATAGAATATTGGCTCGCAGAGAAAAGGTGGTGATCACTCATATTCATCTAAATTATAACAAAAGGACTAATTTAGACCTTTCCAAATGAACTATTTGACTTGAGGTTTCAATCAAGGTGTTTTTTTTTTTATATCTTTTATTTATTTATTTTATGTGGTGCCCCATATGTGCATGAGGCAAGCGCTCTACCGCTGAGCTATAACCCCAGCTCCTTAATCAAGTTTTAAAACAACACTCCATATACAAATTTGTTGTGTTCAAAATAAGCTTAGATCTGGCCTTGATTCAAATAGTACATTTTGAATTTTATATTTCATAAATTATTAATTTCTCTAGTAAAGCCAAACTCTGAGACTAAAGAATTGCCTTTGGACTGACTCATGAAATGACTCATCAGAATCACCTTTTATTTCTTGTCCTTCCCTGAAAGTGTCAGTTTTCTTGCTTAGCTTGTTTACATTTTTTTCACTCCCTCAAATGACAAAGTATCCTTTATCCAGTATTAACTGACTCTTTTTAGTCTTGCCCTATCTAGAATTTAGTTTTTTTTTCTGACGCTTTTTTCAATGTGCTAGTATAATTTAATTTCCCTCTTTTATTAAAAAAAACTTCATTTTTAGGCCTTTTTATTTTACTCATTCTCCACTATGTATTTGAGCATACATTCATATTCATACATTCATATTTACATATAGAGTCCTGTATCAAGGAATATTTCTTTTTTTTTAAAGAGAGAGAGAGGCAGAATTTTAATATTTATTTTTTAGTTTTCGGCGGACACAGCATCTTTGTTCGTATGTGGTGCTGAGGATCGAACCCGGGCCGCACGCGTGCCAGGCGAGCGCGCTACCGCTTGAGCCACATCCCCAGCCCATCAAGGAATATTTCTTTAACATAATTCAGAATTAGCTCAAAATCAACTTTGCCTCCTTTTCACAGTTACATTTTGAGTTTTCACAATATTGATTAAGAAATTATAGCTGCCATTAATATCATAATTTATTTAACAAATACATGGCAATCACGATGACAAGGCACTCTTCCAAATACTTTTCAAATATTCATTCATTTAATCCTTATAATTAGCTTATAAGATAAGTAGTATAATTATCCTCATTTTATTGATGGGGAGACTGAAGCATAACTAGTAAGTGACAGACTGGGAAAGAAACCCCTGCAATCTGGTTCAGTAATGCTTTCTTTTGGCCACTATGCTCTGTTGCCTGCCTGCCTCTCATGGAGAGTCTTTTATCTTTTTTTCAGGGAATCTTCTAGTGTTATCTCTTTCCCAGATTTAGATATTCCCAGATAAGTTAGATAGTTCAGAAACTGATGGTAGATCTACAGTTGTCTCCTTCTGGTGGTAATGTTACTATTTTGGATTATTGATTTATTCTGTCCAAATAGAGGGAACATACTCCAGTTGCTAGAGTAGGAGATTTAGTTTGATAGCTCTGGGGAGAGGAGCTGCCTCTAACTCATTTCTGTATCCCCTACACCTAGCATAGTGCTTGACTATATTGGGCCCTTAGTAAATAATTTATTGAATGGAATGAACTAGCTCTAGTCCCAATTTTGCAGTTAATCTTCTGATGTGACTTTCAGTGGATTGTTTTACCTCACTAAACCTCAAATTCTTTTCCTATATAAAGTGGCCTTGATACTTTGGGTCAGAAACTAAATGAATTAATGAATATAAATAGATTTTTTGATTTGAAACATGATTTACATGTAAGATATAAAATGTTTTAAATCTTTGTAAAATGAGCCTAGATATTAATATTTATGGACTAGGGGCTGGGATTGTGGCTCAGAGGTAGAGCACTTGCCTAGCATGTGTGAAGCACTGGGTTCAATCCTCAGCACTACATAAAAATAAATAAATAAAATAAAGGTATTGTGCCCATCTAAAAAAATTTTTTTTAAAAAAATACTTTATGGGGCTGAGGCTGTGGCTCAGTGGTAGTATACTTGCCTGACATGTGTGAGACACTGGGTTCAATTCTCAGCACCACATATAAACAAATAAAATAAAGGTCTATCAACAACTAAAAATATATATACCTAATTTATTAAAAAATACTTTATGGGCTAAAAATTTATAAGAATATATACTTTTCCCTAAGGTACACATGATATTTTTAATGAAAACTATATATCCTATCATTATTTCAAATGTTTCCAAATTGGCCTTTGGGTAAAAAGTGTTGCTTATTAATGTTTTAAAGTCTATTTAAATCTTTTTTGGGGGGTGGAGGTACAACCCAGGGCCTTATTCATGCTAGGCAGAGGCACTCTACCACTGAGTATACAGCACAGTACATTTAAATTTTAAAGGTTTGAACTTTAGATTTGAAGTCCTACAATAATGTGCATGAGCAAATATAGAATATGGAGTTATAATGGTTTTCTAGCACTGTTACTCTTGTGCACAGGTAGCCTATATTGTCAATTTCTCTGAAAAATCTTGATTTTGTGTTTGTATAAAAGAGGAACTTGTAACTAGGAAGACTTTTTTCTTTTTTTTGTTTTACCTGCCAAGAGAAACAAAGTGAAAGCAGATTTGTCTTTTTCATTGTAGTAAAATATCCATAACATAAAACTTAACATATTAATTAATGTTTTCTGTGGCATTAAATACATTTGCCATTAACAACCTGCATCTCCATAATTTTTTATCTTCCCCAACTGAAACTCTGAACCCCTTAAAACACTAATTCCCCATTCTTCCCTTCCCTACCCCTGGAAACCACCACTCTGCTTTCTGTCTCTATGAATACTATAGATAGGAACCTCATATAAGAGGAATGCTGTAATATTCATCCTTTTGTGTCTGGCATATTTCATTTAGTATAATGTCTTCAAGGTTCATCCACATTGTGCTACGTGTATGTGTCAAAATTTCCTTTTTAAAAGGCTGACTCATAATGCATTGTGTATATGTACCACRTTTTATTTATCTGTTTTCCTGCTGAAGGACACTGAGTTGCTTCCACCCTCTGGCTATTGTAAATATTGCTACTAGGAACATGGATGTACAAATATTTTTTCACTTCTTTCACTTTTTGCATTGTATTCACTTCTTTTGGGTATTCAGATGCATCTAGAATTGTAATGGGATTATGTCCCAGTAAACCTATCATATGTTGAAAATATTATGTAAAATTACCATACCAAATTATCATAGCTTAGTAATACAATACATTGTAGAGTATTGATTGTTTACCCTCATAATCCAGTTGTGGCTCACTGCTACTATCCAGCATCTCAAGAGAGAGAATGGTGCCTCATGTCACTAAGAAAGAGATAAAAATTTAAAAATCAATRTCTGTTTTCTACTGAATACATATGCCTTTCGCACCATTATAAAGTCGAAAATTCATAAATGAAAACATTGTAAATCAATGACTATATGCCCAGAAGACCTTTTCTTTACCTCTTCATAGATATTGGAATTCTAGYTGCTATAGTAACTTATCTTGAAATTAAATTTACTATTAAATTTTCAGTTTCTTTTGAGCATTTATATTATTGGACATTTTCTCACTGTTAACACTGGGCTATCCTGGAGGAGATTCAAATCCAAAACAATTATATACTTGAAATTACTTCCATAGGATAAAGTGTACAAACTTGTTTGCCTCACCTATGATCAGAGTAATAATTATGAGTAATTCTGGCTTTTTTATTACTCAGATTTTTAAAAATTTTATCAATGCTTATATTTGAAATGAATTTCTGTTCATTTACACCTTTTCCTTTCATGCATGGTTTAATACCTTCATTGAACTTTGCCTTCATGAAGACCCGAAAGATCTTTATGCAGATGAATGTCTTAGCACATAGTGATATTCAGTTTTATAATTTTTAGTGATTTCATAATGCACAGATTAATTTTTCCTATATTAGGCACATATTGGATTTTCATACCTAGGTTTCCTAATTAGTAAATTTATTAATGTCTTGCTTTGTTCTGTTTTATTGGTTGTACAAAGTGGAATTGCACTGGTAAGGAAATAGCCATTGAGGAATATTTTAGAATTGTAATCTATTCAAGTCCTCCTTTTCTTCATACAGGTACATTTTTACTTTTCATTTGTTTTGGAAATTTTAACAGATATTCACTGTTTTGCTGTTTTCTTTCATACAAATGAGCTATCAACTATATATTAACATATTCTCTATTGAGTGTTGTAGTTTATTTCTCCRAGAAATTTATTTTAAAGAACATTTCAACAACTATTCAAAGTGTGTAATTAGTAGATCCAGAGCATTAAAATATCAGACAAAACAAATATAGCCCTGTCATTGATTTATTTGTAATGAAACACTACTTTTCAGCACGGGGATGGGATGAATACCTGCAGCTCTTAACTGAATCTTTCCCTGACACTAGGGGGCACTAGGTTTTTTCCTTAGTTGTAAGAATTCCAGGGGGGAATAGTCTTTTTTTTTTTTTTTTAAGTTTTGGCATACATTGTACCAAAATTTTAGTGGTTAGCTATTTGGATTCTCAGGATATTTTTGCTTTTAAATACCTTTGGGAAATCATATTCAAACCCCAAACATTTTAATTGGGTAATAACTCCCAACGATCAAGTGTAGGCRTCTGTTTGCCTAACTTGCATTGGAAGTGACAATAGCTAGAGTTTTATCTAGTGATCTTAATAATATATGGCCTTTGTGTGTGTGTGTGTGGTACTGGGGATTGAACCCAGGGATGCTCTATCAGTGAGCTACATCCCTAGCCCTTTTTCCTTTTTTCCTTTGAGACATGGTCTCACTAAGTTACCTAGATTGACCTTGAACATGGGACTTCCTGCCTCAGCTCCTGAGTCACTGGGATTATAGGTGTGCATTGTAGTACCTGACCTTTTCTGGCTTTTTAACATCACTAAAATTATTAAAAATCATATAATTCAGAGAAGATCAACACATATTTATATCTGAATTTAGGATTCTGTCCACTATTTCAATTTTTTCTTTGTGCAAAATTTAGTGTCTTAAATTGCACATGATATGATGTAAAAATATTTATTTCTAGTATAACTTTATGAACATCTGATATTTTAAAAATCAATAGTCAATAATGGAGAAATAGGGAAGCACTTCAATTAATTTTTAAATTTGTTCTTTTTTAGATATACCTGATAGTAGTGTCAATTTTTACTCTCCTCCAGCTAATTTGCTTTCTAAGATTAAGAAATGGGATTACTCAGTAATTTTTTTCCCCTTTTTTGCCATGCTGGGGATTGACCCTAGGCCCTATGCATGATAGACAAGTGCTTTACCACTGAATTACATCCCCAGCTACTTAGTAAAATTTTTTTTTAAACTAGGGATTGAACTCAGGGGTGCTTAACCACTGAGCCATAAACCCAGTCCCTTTTTGTTTAATTTTTATTTTGAGACGGGGTCTCATTAAGTTGCTTAGGGCCTTGCTAAGTTGTTGAGGCTGGCTTTGAACTTGCAATCAATCCTCTTGCCTCAGCTTCTATTTAGTAATATTATTATCACAGTCACAAGGTAGAACGTGGAGATAAAAGGGGAAAGTTGCCATTTTATGATAAAGACATCTTTATATATATTAACAAGTAGAGTTCTATTTAATTAAATTTTTGCTATTAAAATTTTACATTTCAGGAAAAAGGAAAGCTTAGGGAAGTACTGTGTTATAAAGAGCATGTGTTTTGGAGTTTGGATACTGGCTGTCACTATCAGTTTTGTGACTTTTGGCAAATTAATATCTTTTATTTCCCTTATTTTATAAAGTAATGTTAATACTTCATATGATTGTTGCTTGAAGTGATATATGTAAAGCATCTACCACTGTGCCTGGAGCATGGTAGGTACTCAATACATACCATCCTCTGTTTACTCCAAAGGTGTGATGTTATAACTGATTCTCATTCGTACTGGAGAGTCTCTCTCTGGAAAAGAGGAGACTCAACCTATTAAGACTGCATCTGTAAGTATAACCGTTCCAGTACAAAGAATCGATCTTTTCGTGGTGTCCTAASTATAAAGAGAATGTTTGGAAAAATGTATTTTTTTGGTTCCATCCCCAGCACCACAAAAAATAGTTTCTTTAGTTAAAATCATAGCTGCTTTTGTTGATTGCTTACTGTCTTCCATTACTATTCTAAGTGCTTTGTGCATATTAGCTCATTCATTCCTCATAACTACCATATTAGGTAGAGTCTATTATTATCCTTATTTATTATCCTGAGACCCAAAGAGGTTAACTATGCTCAAATTAATACAGCTATTAAATTGTGGAGCTCAACTCCAAAGTCAAGCAGTCTGGCTCTAGGAGCTACATTCCTACCCATTTGCCTAAATGTTAAAACATTTTTTGCATGTATTTCTAGCAGATGCATTGTTTAATGATAAGAACATTTGGAGAATATTTTATACTTATTTTACTCTTTTAAAACACTCCCCCCTCTTAATGGTTGTTACTGCTAAAATGATTGAAATAATTATTTAGGAATTCCAAATATATTTTGATATTTTCAATAAACTGAAATTACTTTCAATAAGAAATGTTTAATTAGAAAGGTAACAAAATGTTTAGGTGCTAAAGAAATCACTTATAAAAGTAGACATGGACCCTTTTAAAGTTTATGAAAAAGTTTATTATATAATCATGATATTTAAAAAAAATAGCACCTGATTGGACTAAATACAATTTTTTTAGACACATGAAGGAAGCTCTTCTTTGGACTTCTTTCCAGATCAAAAGAGGGCAGAACCTTGAATGGTGTAGAGATTTATTTTGGTTSATGGCTTGTCTGTGTTTAAATTTGTTCCAGCTGTTCTACAGTGCTGCTCTCCTTCTACCCACATGGACGCTCTAAGTAGTTGTGTCACTCCCACTGCCTCTTCCTACGCACACTGCAACTACTTCCAGGTAAGATTCATGGATATGATGTGTTTCATGTGCAATATTATTGACCTTGCAAAATTTCAAAGTGTAATTTTATATTAATGAGGTAGCCATAGGTAAGCTTGGGTTATGGACTCAGTTTTCTCAGTTCTCAATAATTTCTTTTTGGTACCAGGGATTGAACTCAGGGGCACTTGACCACTGAACCATATCCCCAGCCCTAGTTTGTGTTTTATTTAGAGACAGGGTGTTACYGAATTGCTAAGTGTCTCACTGTTGCTGAGGCTGACTTTGAACTCGATATCCTCCTGAGTTAGCCTGCCTTAGCCTCCTGAGCCACTGGGATTACAGGCATGCGCCACTGCACTGGCTTCTCAGTTCAAAATAAAAGAGGATTGATAGGAATGATGTTTTGAGTATTCTTCTAGGGTAGCACTGTCGAATATGGTAGCCACTAGCCACATGTGGCCTTTTACATTTAAATTATTTGAAATGGGGTGAAATTTTAAAGTTCATGTATTCATCACCCTAGCCACATTTCAAGTACAAGTCTCATATGAGTAGTGGCTCCCAAATTGTTCAGCACCAAAATAGAACATTCCCATTRTTGCTGAAAGGTATTTTATATAGTGCTATTGTAGACTTTTTATGAATACCAGATATGTCACCAAATGACAGAATCTTCCAAGATGGTAAGACTTTTTTTTTTAAGAAAAAAGGAAAAATSATGTCAAAAAATAAGAAATTCAAGAGCTAGTCCCTAGCCTTATCCTGAATGTTATATACACTGTTCTTCAAATATCTTATTATTATTTCTTAGGAAATAATTGCTTTGACTAAAACGTTTTATATTGCTATTTATAGGATAAGATTTCTTTCTTTTAATCTACATGACAAGTAAGTAGATAATCAAATTATTGTTAGAAGAGTATAGAATCAGATCAAGGGGACAAAGCAACTTAGTTGGCTGTTTTTCATGGCCAGTATCATCAAGCATTATCAGTGCTCAGTTTGTTCTTCTCTGGAGGGACATACCTGTCCCACCGTGCTCTTGTTTGTAGATCCAGACACAGTCATGGATCACATTGGAGATAATCTGAAAGTATTTATATCTTGATTCTTTTATGTTTTATTTATTKATTGATTGATTGGTATCAGGGCACTTAATCACTGAGCCATATCCCCCAACCTTTTTAAATATTTTATTAGAGACAGGGTCTTGCTAAGTTGCTTAGGCCTTGCTAAGTTGCTGAGGCTGGGTTTGAACTCATRATCCTCTTGCCTCATGTTTTAAATTAAACATTTTTGAAGATTTTTTCTTACTACAACAGTAGTACATGTTTATTTTAGGAATAAAGAAATAAGGGGACATAAAATTTAAAACTTGAAAAAGGAAAAGCATTTCAGAGTACATCCTGAAAATCAGTGCAGTTAGACTGTAGGTACTGGTGAGAATGTGTATCAAAGGTCAGTATATTGTCATAGTTGAGAGCAAAAGATCTAGAGTCAGGCAAACCTTGAAACCTGGCTCTGTCAGTTATTTCATTGCTACTTTGATTAAATTACGGTATTTCTCTGAACCTCAGTTTTATCATTTGGAAATGGAGAATATGACCTGTCATGGGGTTCTTATGGGCATTAAATGAAATAATTATTATATAGAGTATTTTTTATGTTCCTGTCACATAGTAAAGACTCATGGTACTATGGTAATGGCTTGATACTTATACTCTTTGAATTTACATAATTTATTGGGCATTAACCTCCTAAAACTCATTGGTATCATCATTGTAGTACATTTGACAACATCAATTCTTTGTATCTATTTATTCATAGCTCTTCTGTATTTTATGTTTATAACTGAGATAATTAGCAAACACATTGAAAGCCTACTTTGTGCAAAACACTATATATGTAAATAAATAATTTAGACATTTGTATGAAGATCTTTATGTCTTTATACATTTTTTAGATAAGTATGAATAGATACATATGTATGTTTATGGATATGTCTTAAAGATATAAAACTAAATGCACAGCTATTCAGGTTTGTTGTTTCATTATCGAAAGTAATCTCAGGAACCAAAGGACATTGATATTCTATCCATCTTTTTCCCCAGATCATTTGGAGCAGAATTCAGTACCTTCCCCTGATTCTGTAGAAGGATTGGTGGATTTATGAGCATCTTGTGCTTGCCATTTACTTGCTGTATTCCTAAGATAGTATAATATAAATAAAATAATGTTTTGACTATAAACCTTTATGGAAGAATTTGGTTATATAGACATCGATCGGCAAATGGGTATTTAGATATTATAGCTTTTTGCTTTTGTGAACTTGAACCCTGAGAATTAGTGCTTTACTCCAGTATTAAACTTAGTATAATGGCTGACATATGRTAGATACTAAATAAATATTAACAATACATTTGAAGCTGCCATTGCTGAAAAGATTAGCATTCAGATTTTCTTAGTGATCTTTAAGCTTATAAATCATATGTGCTAAGCATTGGTGAGCCTAAATGTTGTTTCTTTCCTCCTTAATCTCATATTTGATTTTCTATCCAAACAGTCCTATTTTCTCTTTTCCCAGAATCCTCCAATGCAATCCTCCTATCCAGTTGAATTTTTGCCTTCTAATTGGCCTTGCAGTTCTACTGATGAAAATAAAAAGACGGAAGTAAACCTAGAGGCTGTCTTTCAGATAGTAGATGAGTTGCATTCCTCCCCTAAATTGGAGATGGTGAAGGTGGAACCTGTTGAGAATCAGTGCCCAACATCTCAGTCTAACAGAGGCCAACATATCCTAGCTAATTCAAGCAACAGCAATCCATCGTCCACAAGTCAGGCTAGCCAGCTGGAGCCACTTACTCCTGTAGGCTCAGATATTACATCTTTTGTGGTTGGAACAGAACAAGCAATTACCTGCTCTCTACCACAGTCACCTGAGTACATCTATACCATCCACACAGCTCAACCTGTGGAAAATAGCACAATGCAGGAATCTGCAGCCATACAACAAGCTCACGTCAAACTGAAGGAGCAGCTAAGTCATAATCCATCTCCATCTTCAGTAGTATTTGTGCAGGAAGGGCTACCATTCAACACACACCAGGTAAGAGGGCAAACAAAAGAATTATAATAAAGTTCAAAGTACACAATGCTTCTTGTTAAAGAATCTTCTAGCGGAATTTTTCTAGGTTTTATTTGGGTTTAATACCAGTTCATTTCACTTTCCAAAAGGATCACATCCCTGTGGTTCTGCACGAAAGATTCATAAAGGAGTTACCTTAACCCCTAGACATCATCTTACTATTGTTATAGTTTGAAGTGGCAGACTGGGCATTAAAACTTGTTTTCATATTAAAATTATCCTTTGAGTTTTGCTTCCTATTTTAATTTGGATGGACTAGATATGCCTGACTAATATGGAGTGGTTTATTTGCCAGATGATATAAGGATTTTCCAAGTTATTTGTAGATGGAGGTAAGGATATGGTTGGAGATCTTTTCTTAACCATTTTTTTGACAACATCACTGCATTTGAATAATGAGTGTATTGTGTTCAAACTTCTTACTATTGCTTGCATTCCCAAAGCAGAATTCTGACTGTAGTTTGAGGGACACAATGTGAAGGAAGAGATTAATTCCTTTAGTACTGTTAGTATATGAYGATAAAATAAATAAACTTTGATTCTAAATAATTAGTAAGAATAACTCATCAAAAGTGTATCCAAAAGTAATATTATCTTGTGAGTTAACTTATTTTTTTTTTTCTGACTTTAATTTTTTTATGGATCTTTTTTTTGAGACAGGGTCTTGCTATGTTGCCCAACCTGGCCTGAAACTTGAGCCTCCTGAGAAGCTGGGATTACAGACGTGTGTCACCAATGCTTGCTGATTTTTTTTTCTTTTAATAGGACTGAAAATCTTTTTATTGTTAGATACTCCCAAGATAACTTTTGGTGTGTTTTGTTTTGTTTGCAGCCTTTTTTTTTTTTTAGTTCTAATTTTAGATCCAGATGTCTTAAGATTCCTATCAACTCTTTCCTTTTTGAGCCTATTGAGATCTATTACATTAAGATAATGATGTTAATTCAGTAGGAAAAAAATTATGTTTTGAATATATCTGTAGAAAGAATACAAAATTTGTCTTTTTTTCTTCATAGTCACATTTAGAATATTGGATTTTGTATCTTAAAATTGCATGTACACAGTTACTTTTTCTTTCATTAGTATATTTGAACACCACAGCTCATGAAAGCTGTTTTTAACTTTTAACCTTGTTTTCATTATATAGTTTAATTTTAAATAAATGATAAAGAAATTGAATATTTTAGAAATTGGTCACCTTGACAAAATGATTTAACAATCCAAAGATGATCATTTGTGAAACAAATGAATTTAAATTTTATAGGGACTAAAGCTTATACAATTTTGACAACCTTTTAAAGACAAAGAATACAAAATTAGTAAAATAAAGTATTCAGGTTTTATTGACAGAATTCAACAGGATTATGACTATGATCATCTCAGCATCGCCAACTAGTAGGGGAAATCTGATGGAACATATGCTAGAGTAGAAAAAGATGGTGGTTTTTAGCCAGTTAGGGTTTAAAATATCTTACTCTCTTATAAGTTAAAAATCATCAAGTCTCATGGTAAATCTTTGATCATAATAAGTGAATATTGTAGTTCCACATACATTTCAATGGTTTGAGTATGGGGAAATAAACATCTTACTATTAAATAATTAGATAGCAAGCTAATTAAAGGTACTATTCATAAGGATGAAAAGCTTTAAAAGCATGTTTGTTGCATCATGGTTGTGTTGGGGTGGATTCTGGGTGTTTGAACACTCTACCACTGAACTACATCTCCAAGCTTTTGTTTATTATTATTATATATATTTTTTGATACCAAGGATTAAACCCATAGGTGTTTAACCATTGAGCCACATCCTCAGCCCTTCTTATTTTTTAATTTTGAGACAGGGTCTTGCTAAATTGCTTAGGGCCTTGCTAAGTTGCTGAGGCTGGCTTGAACTTACGATCCTCCTGCGTCAGACTCCCAAGGAGGTGGGTTTATAGGAGTGCACTACTGTGCCTGGCTGGATCATATTTCTGTAACACAACCCTCTGATAGATTAATTAACTTTTAGTACATATTTTGGGGAAATCTCAGAATAATGAATGAATTTAATATTTTAGGTGGATGCCAGTATAAAATGCCAGACCAGTCCACCTGAGAATATCTTGCCTTCAGAACAGATGGGATTCCTCATTTCAGAAATGGGGCCAGCTAGCAAATCTAGTAAAGACACAGGCTTATCCACTCCAGCCAGATACAGAGAGCGAAGAAGCAACTCACAACAAGGAAAGTCCCCTGGTAAGGATTATGTAATTTTAAGCTTTAGAATCTATAGCTCTAGAATGCTAGAAATAGAACCACAGTATAAAATTAATATTTAAATGACAGTTTTTCTATGTCTTCACTTATTATTCATGATTGTATTATTTCTATCACATTGCTTTTTACATAACTGTAAAAATTATCCTTGTAAAATATGTAATATTTTCCTAATATTGCATATAAGAATTTAAGCTTTCAAAAATGCTGAAAATATTTAAGATAAATCAAAGAAATTAGGTTAACTTGAAGAGGGTAAAATGAAGGATGACTTAAATAACTGTCCTCAGATGCCAAAGACTTATAATTGTAGATGTACTTATTCACTTATTAAAAGACTGTAGGACACAAGGTTATACACTTAAATTGTGATGGGAGGAAATTAGATGGATATAAAAGATCCTGAGTACATAAAAATGCTATAAAGTGTAACTCTATATCAGTAGGATTGTTTTTCTCTTTATTTATTTTTAAAATGTTTTAAAAATATTTTTTAGTTGTAGTTGGACACAAATAATACTTTTATTTATTTATTTTTATGTAGTGTTGAAGATTGAACCCAGGGCCTTGCACATGCTAGGCAAGCATTCTGCTGAGCCACAACCCCAGACCTTTCTTTTGATTTTTAAGAATCTAGAGGGGATGGGGTTGTAGCTCAGTTGTTGAGCTCTTATCTTGCATGAATGAGGCCCTGGGTTCGATCCTCAGCACCATGTAGAAAGGAAGGAAGGAAGGAAGGAAGGAAGGAAGGAAGGAAGGAAGAAAGAAAGAAAGATATTGTGTCCATCTTGTTTGGGGTACTCACTGTTGGTTCTACTTTTTTTTTTCCTTTCTGTTTTTGTTTCTTTTTTTTTTTTTTAATATCAAGAAACTATCACCTCTGGCTTTCCTGTCCAAGGAGTCTCTAATTTGTTCATTTTCTTTTGAAGAGAGAGAGAGAGAATTTTTTAATATTTATTTTTTAGTTTTYGGCGAACACAACATCTTTGTTTGTATGTGGTGCTGAGGATCGAACCCAGGCCACACGCATGCCAGGCGAGCATGCTACCGCTTGAGCCACATCCCCAGCCCCTTGTTCATTATTCTTAAAGGTAGCCTCATCTGCAGTGGTCCTCATGGAGTATGTGTTCTTTTGTTGGAATGATCCAGCTTTTGTTACCTATTTTCTAAAGGATAAATCTCAAGTGTCTGAGGATTAACTTTAGGGGCTGAACAATTACACTTCTTAGCATACCAGACTTGTTAATTCTCAGGCATTTTAATTAACAACAATAACAATAATAGGCATTTGCATAAAAAGCAAAAACAACAACTTGGAGCCAAGTGCTGTGGTATATACCTGTAATCCCAGCTATAAAAAAGCTGAGGGAGGAGGATCACAAATTCAAATCCAGCCTGGTCAACTTAGTGGATCTTGTCTCAAAAAATAAAAGGACTGGGGATATTTGCTCAGTGGTAGAACAGGCCTGAGTTTAATCCCTAGTGCCACAAGAAACAAAAAACAAATCAAAAGTTGGTAGATGACTGCTTTGTTGGCCTTGCTTGGGTCATTCCAGTTGAAAGCCAGGGATCTCATTTTAGGTAGTGTTAAGCTTGACAAGTCTGATATTTGATTTGCAGTCTATGCTTTTCCCATTCCTTAGTCTGAGAGTGGGTTGAATCTTTGCAGTAGAGTTCTCTCCCATTGTCTATCAGAGATTCCCCCTCCACCCTGATGCTGAGGATCGAGCCCAGTGCCCCGCGCATGCCAGGTGAGCGCACTACCGCTTGAGCCACATCCCCAGCCATCCCCCCTGCCTTTTTTATTTTGAGCTTGGTCCTCACTGAATTGCCCAGTCTTGACTTGAACTTGGAATCCTCCTGCCTCTGCTTTCTAAATAGTTGAGGCTATAGTTACGCACACCGCTCCTAATTTTCAGAGGTTCTTACAACAGGTGCTTGAGAAAAGGTTGAGGCTCCCTGGGTTTCTGAAGCAGTTGGATGTATGACCTAAACTAATGAGCTGTAGTGAATAGATTGTCAACTACAGGAAGAGAAATATTCCCATTCATCTTTGCTTGCACACTGAGCTCTAGACTGAGCTCATCTCTTCTTTTAGGACTTTGCTGAATGTGTTAAGAAATAGTCAACACAGTGTGAATTTTGTCAGCCTTTTCCCTATGGTTGTATGCACACTTGTTCTGTGGTCTGCCTTCCAGGGTATCACAGGTAATGAGTTTACCAAATGTTTTGGCACAAATAAGAAAGATCACCAACATTCCAGCCTGCTATATCTTAACCACCTACTGTCTGACTAGTAAGCCCATGCCACTTTTTTTTTTTTTGATACTTGAATTGAACCACTGAGCTATACCCCAGTGCCTAGAACCACATTTTAAAATTTGAATTATAGCAGCACCTCACATCTAGATTCCAAATTGCCTATTAGGATATAAATTAGAACAACATAATTATATAAATAATACATTAGAATAGAAATTGTAACAAATAAAACAAAAGGGACTAGAGATGAAGCTCAGTGGTAGAGCATTTGCCTAGCATGCATGAGGCCTTAGGTTCAACCACTAGCACCATAAAAGACAACAATGGCTTAAAAAAGATAGAACTTTTTTTTTCTTTATAATAAAGCCTATCCTGAGTATAAACTGTCCAGAGTGGTAGCTTCCCTTCTTTCTGCTAGTCCTCAGGTATTGCATGGTTAAAGATGGCTTACCACTCTAGATAGCAGGCTGCTATAAATATCTTTTCCTCATATGCACTAAGTTATCACATATGTTCACATCTTTTTGAACAGAACTTAAGTCACAGAAGACCAAGTTCTAGCTATAGGGAAGCTTAGAAATACAGTCTTTGGCTGGGGGCCATTTGCCTATTTAAAAGAATACCATAGGACTGGAGATGTAGCTCAGTAGTGGAGTTCTTGCTTAGCATGCACAAGGATCTGGGTTCAATCTTCAGCACCACAAAAATAATAACTATTAAAATAACACCATGATGTTAAGAATGAGAATCAGTGTTAGGAGACAACTAGCATGGCCTTAAGGAAAATACTTACCACATAAATGTATGTATCAATATTACAGACGAACCCCTTACAAATCAGTAAAAAAAATGCAAACCAATAAAAATAAATAAAATTTAATTGGGGGGCTGTGGTTGTAGGTCAGTGGCAGAGCATTTGCCTAGCACAGTGAGGCATTGGGTTTAATCCTCAGCACCACCTAAAAATAAACAAAATAGGGACTGGGGCTGGGGCTGGGGCTGGGGCTGGGGCTGGGGCTGGGGCTGAGGCTCAGTGGTAGCGCACTTGCCTGGCATATGTGAGGCACTGGGTTAGATTGTCAGCACCACATATAAATAAATAAAATAAAGGTCTACCAACAACTAAAAAAACATTTTAAAAAATAAACAAAATAAAGGCATTCTGTTCATCTACAACTGCAAAAAACATTTTTTAATTATATTAGGGGATAGGGTTGTGGCTCAGTGGTAGAGCACTTGCCTGACATGAGTGAGATATGGGTTCTGTCCTCAGCACTACATAAAATAATAAAGATATTGTGTCCATCCACAACTAAAACCAAATTATATTAGTATGCAGTTTAGAAGAAATAAAAATGACTAATAAATATATAAAAAGATATTCTTTTCAACCTTTGTTTACCAGAGAAATACAAATTTATCCAGCTACTTTTTCTTCAATCTAATTGGCAAAACTTCAGCTGTTCCTAATATTAGACTTGGTATAGTTATAAGGAAGCTGGGTGTGATGGTGCATACCTGTAATCCCAGCTATTTGGGAGGCTGAGACAGGAAGATTTGAAAGTCCAAGGCTAGCCTGGGCAATTTAATGAAATTCTTTACCAAAATAAAAAAAGAAAAGGACTGGGGAGATAGCTCAGTGGTAGAGTGTCCCTGTGTTCAATCCCCAGTAGCACCCAAAAAATGGTGTAGGAAAAAAGGAACCCCCTATATGCTGCAACTGGAATGTAAAAGTCTATTGCTTTTTGAAGGGAGGGCAGTTTTTCATTATCTATAAATAATTAAATTACTCATGTGTTTTAACACAAGAATTCTACTCCTATGAATCTGTCCTACTGAAATATGTGTATTCCCAAAGATACCACAAAAAAGTTCACTATATTATTTTAATAGCAAAAACCTAGAAAAAGCATAAATACCTGACAGTTGGGAGCTAGATAAATTATAATAAATTCATGTAATTAAATGCTGTGCAACTATTTAAGAAAATAGTTTGACAARTTGTGACCTGGAAAGATTTAGTGAACATTAAGTGTCCATAATGTATTAGTATACAAACAGGTTGCAGCACCATATGCCTAGCTAGCACAGTTCTCTTTCTAGAAAAAAAAAAACAGAAAGCTAAGTGTATGCTGTATAATTATAGAAAAAAAATCTGAAAATGTATGATAAAACTGAAATATGTAATAATGGTGACCTTTGAGAAGATAGAAATGAAGGGTACAGGGATATTTTTAACAACTTAATTTGTGTATGTATGTATATGAGAGTAGGATTATGGTAAATTTTCTGAATTTTAAAAATTGAATTAAAAGCTGAAAATACTAAAAGTAAATACTTTACAGCATTTCTGTAGCATGAATATAAAAGCCTCACAATAGGCCTGGGATTGTGGCTTAGTGGTAAGTGGTAGAGCACTTGCCTAGCATGTGTGAGGCACTGGGTTGGATCCTCAGCACCACATAGAAATAAATAAGTAAAGGTATTGTGTCCATCTATAACTAATATATATATATATATATATATATATATATATATATATATATTCACAATAATAGGAATGAGCAAATTTTTAAAAATTTATTTATTCTAATTTGTTATATATGTCAGCAGAATGCATTTCAATTCATAGTACACATATAGAGCATAATTTTTCATGTCTCTGGTTGTACACAAAGTAGAGTCACACCATTCATGTCTTCATACATGTACTTTAG